TCTTCGATCGTCGTTCCCCCTTTCTTCTCAGAGATGACCCATTCTGGTTTTTCGATAATCTCGCAAAGAAGTATTAAATCACCTGCTTTAGGTGAAGCTGTACCTTCCACTTCTACAAGTATGGGTAAGAAACAATTTTCTTTTTTCTCACCTTGATTTCCACCTAACTTTGTGCGTTTCAAGGACACGATGCAGTGCAAAGCTGTAATTGCCATTCGACCAAGTGTTTCCTTTACGCAGCAGGTTTTGTACTTGGCGGAGCCGCTATTGGCTATTTCGTGAGTTTTTTTGTTTATTCTACAACATCCATTTTTGGTCAGGTTGTAGCTGGCTGCCCATGAAGTATCCATCATTGACAGCCGAGCATAGGGAGCGTCATGCTACCGCCTTCCAACTTAGCTTACAATAAGTGAAGACGCGTGCATGTGTAAAAAATAGTAGCATCGGCATGGAGTTTTTATGCCGCACGCGCTCGAATGGACTGATTTTGCACGCGCCGGGCAGCATGAGCCTCCGACATCCTTCACCGTACTGCGCAACACCATTTTGGAAAGCTTTAGACTGTTGCAGTGGAGAGTGGGGACAGGCGAAAACGGTCAGCCAAAAACTGGCCCAGCGGTATACTTGAACAATGAGTGTCGGAAATACACTTCCCTGGACAGAGTCAACCCTGCGTTGCGCAGTTCGCAACGGCACGTTGAGAGATCCTCAACGCACGCTGTATGGGCGGAGACGCAGACGGCTCGAGCATGCGAGTGTGAATGTTCGCGCGAGAGAACGTGTCTAATCGGGCGAAACTGCGCAACGTGGCCGTTGAGAACTGCGCAACGCAGGGTTGACTCTGTGGTCACTCGCGTTGAGATGGACTCCCTATTGGGTATACTGCCGAACCAGGGGATCTAGCCCACGAACAAGATGCTGTCATAGCTGTCACTATCCTTTTTTCACTTTTGTGGTAGTCCTTTATAACGGAAAGGCGGTGATCAAGCAAGAACATTAGATATGGTGGCTCTCACCGCGAAGTAACTTCGTAGAAGCTTGGTGTAAGCTCTGTCGGGGCACGCAGAGCTTTGTTTTGGACATACGGTCTGAAATTCGCCTCTTTTTCGGCTCCTTCAAAGTTATGATTGCAGTGCATTTGCAGGAGCAATCTCTACTCTTCAGGCATTAGGTTACTAGGGCATCTAGAGGCATTTTCTCCTCGCTGAGAGCCCGTAAAGCCTTAATGTTGGAGAATTAGGCGTTGCGAAACATGCAGTCTTCTTTTATCTGCTTGCTGTTGCTGCGTCACAGTAAGGGAACCAAACAGTATTTTTGATTCTTTTTGATTATTTATTCTTTTCCCACAGCAGCATGTTCTCCAGAACATCTCAGATATAACTGGTTGTGACCCCTTGGTTGAAAAAAGAGCGCTGCTCATCAGGTAGCAAGGATATCAACTACTACAAGCTATCTTCAGTCCGGGACCATTTCTACCGCGCGATTCAAAAAAGGCGAGATCCTGGGCAGGACTAAGCCTATTGGGCATCTTGTTACTCCCTTTTTCTGTGAAATGCGACAATCCCTCCCGAAAAGATGACTCACCGTGTGTTGCCGTCGAAGCAGATTCGGAGCTTTCACTAGCGATTCGTGCCGTAGACAACCATATCTAGTGGCTTGTAGCGCTTTTTTGCTGCGGTGAAACGTGAACATAAGCGGAGTTCCATCGTGTTTCTTTCAAACAGCGGTTTTTGTGAGCTTTGTTACCATACTGATAACGCACTTGTTATGGTGCATACAGTAAGTAGTAGATCAGGATTAGTAGAATGTTCTTCAGATTGGGTACAAGTTGGCTATGCGCAGGGCTCGAGTAAACGCAAAGGTTCAACTTGCAAACGACAAGGTATTGGTTGTTTTTCTTCTACTTTCGGAAAACTTCATTACAGCTCAATTAAGTGGTAAAATATGTACTGAAATGTTTTTGTTTCTTTTGAGGTAGTTGATACCGTCGATGTGGAAGATATCGGAGAAAAGAAAGCCTTCTGTCGATGTTGGAAAAGTGAAAAGGTTGGTAAAATCTATTGTAAATTCTGAGAGTTGAGCTTTTTGAGTAGTACAACCCCTGTTATAAAATGGTACACATCTCGTCACGTGAGTGATTCGTTCCTTACATGTCGCTGAGATTCACTCGCTTTCCTTGGGTGGTAAAATTCCGAGAATGAGTAACTAAGTGGAAGAAGTATCTAGAAGAACCTTATGGAGCTTTAAACCTTCATCGTGGGCTGAAAATGGTTTAATAGAACAGTGAAGACTGGGAGGTTGAAAACTCGCATGGCACTCTAGATACTTCTTCCTATGTTGGTTCCCATTTGAAATTTTTACCACTCGCTAACTCGAAAGGCCATTCTCAAACTTTTTGTCGACTTGTTCACCTGATTATCGAACCGGAGGTCGTTCTAAAAACTAGTAGGTGAAATATAGAGGACGTTTCCTGTAATATCAGATCGAAGATGAAAGTTGTACAGTATCGGAAGGCGCTACGGCACACTTGCCTAGCGGAACTCTCCATCCTAAGCATAGGTCCTTTATCTTTCTTGAGTAAATTAATCGGTGAGGGACTTCTGATGTGGGCGCGATGTGTTGCGAACGCCTCCCGCGAGACACTTGATCCCCATATAGAGTGCAAGTTTGAGCTGCAATTGATTTCGACGTCGTGTAAACTCGTGGTCCACAACTAACACTGGCGAATTTCTCAGGTCATTGTTTCTGTCTTAGGTAGCAAGCGCAACTAACGATTTTGAACGGAAGTGCCGGGCGGTCGGCGCATCCCAAAAGAAGGGATTAATTCGACCACGAATACTTTATCCTTGAAGCAACAGTCCTGCGGGGTTCTTACCTTCGACACTAATGGTGTTGAACGATGCGCTAGCCCTAGTCAAGAACATAAGAAGTGTGACTGAACAAAAAACTCACCTTGGAAAGCCGCGAAAGGGAGTTGAACGCCTTCGAAGTGGGCGTGTCGGCCACCGATCGTAAGCCCCTCTTGCCAGCCGTGGAGATCGCGTGATTGGCTGTGGAGGCATTTGGATCGTGCATTCGAGTTCAATGAGTCTCTTTGATCCTAAATCGGTCACAAATGCCTCCAAAGCCAATCACGCGATCTGGGCAATAGGGGCTTACGATCGGTGGCCACACGCCCACTTCAAAGGCGTTCAACTCCTTTCGCGGCTTCCAAGGTGAGTTTTTTGTTCAGTCACACTTCTTATGTTCTTGACTAGGGCTAGCGCATCGTTAAACACCATTAATGTCGAAGGTAAGAACCCTGCTGGGACTGTTGCTTCGATTCTTTTGCTTTTACCCAACGGCTATCAATTTATCGTACAATCTTCCTTCAAGAAGCTATAGTTTTCACATCTACTCAGCCGTTTTCTTGCAGTTTCCGTATTGTGATGGTGCACACTCGAAGCACAACAAGGAAACCGGTGATAATGTCGGTCCACTGGTGGTAAAAGGCAAACACCACTGAAGATGGTCGTCACCGTACCGTTCTAGTTGTTTTAGGTCACACATCCTTACAAGTAACAATTGTGATACTCTGTTTTTGTTCTTCTTGATAAATTTATGAATTAGTTGGCGAGTTTTTCGATAATCTCCTTTGCACGAATAAAATAATGTGACGACTTGATTGCCTTTAGTGGACGGTATTCCTAGAAAAACGTACAATAAGTTAACTCCCTCGTGTGCTCACAATGATTAGAAGGATGCAGTTAGAATCCAATAGCACCACGGTTTTGAAGAAATTAATCAAGTCTGTAAAAGCTCCTTCCCTTTTTAACATGGTTCTCTGCGATCCTTTAAATAATCCACTCAACGCGTATTCTCTGAACAACTCGTACTTCATCTACCGTACTCCTCCATCAGCTGCCAAAAAAAACGAATTATTTACAGTTAAATACGGTTAGTCTTGAAGTGGCTCTGCTTACCACGCGAGCGGTCCGGGGATCAAATCCTGGGTCGTGAGTCGCCGGGCCAACCAAGCCTTCCATCCCTCCGGGGTCGGTTAATTGGTACCAGACTTGTCTGGGTGGGTAACTCTAACATGTACATGGGCTGCCGGAATAGAATGTGTGCCGCATCCCCAAACGGGATTGATCAACGGCAAATGCTTTATCCTTATCCCTCATAGATATGATTGGATGACCTACTGGTAGACAACATACAGTATCTCACCTAGTGTAGCTAACGAATAGGTGGTTTACTGTTACTTCACAACACGATAGCATTACACACGCTTCTTTTTCGAAAGATCTGTAGTAAGTCTAAAGACTGGCTAGGCTAGCATTACACACGTCCAAGTGCAGTGGCAAGTGGCGCTGCTTACCACAGGCACGGTCGGGGGATCAATTCCTGGCGTACGCCTTCCTAGCCAAC